TGGGGTTTTTTTGGTTTTTTTTTTTTTGTTAGAATTAGGATATCAAAATGAAGTGGTCAGGATTTTTTTCAGATTTCAAAACAGTAAGTTAATTCTGTATAACTCTTTCTGTTGCATTTTACAGATTGTAGATCCTTTTCAGATTCTTGTGGCAGCCAACAAAGCAGTGCATCTACAGAAGATAGGTAAAATGAAGACCAGAACACTCTTTGCAGAAATTATTTTCAGCCTTTCACCAAGCAACAATGTAAGATTTATTGAACAAATTTATTTTTTGCCAGAAAAGCTTGCTAAGATCCACACAGCCAAACTAAGTACATGTATTCCTTTAACACTCTACATATCTACTGGTAGAAGTTTTTAATTATTTTTTTTATTATTATTTTTAATAACACTAATGTGCTCTTATGGTTTGTAGCTTGTCAGAATAACATTAATGTAAAATGTCTGTCAATTTATACTCTTGGTGTATCTGACACAGTAACTGAAAAGGTTCCTTATATGTAGTGAGAAAATTACTCGTGATTTTTTTTTTTTCTCTTTTTTCAGATTTCAGATGCATTTAAGAAGTTTGGCATTTCAGACAGTGACACAGCAGTACTCATTGTGCTGGTCGTGGATGGAGACAAGAACGTAAATCTGGCAGATATAGCATCTCAGGTGGAAGGCCAGCAAGTTTCCCTAGATGAGCTCCCCCAGCTAACAGACATAGCCAAAGTTAAAAAGGTGTGTAGCCAAAAGAGAAGACTGATATGGAGAAAAGGGACAGTTTATTTAGTTGTCTGATTAAATATCAACAGACGTAATTACCTTAGGATCTGTATTTCTTTAGCACAACTGAAAACTTGTTTTAAGTGGACCTTGATTATTTTTTAGAATTTTTTAGTTGAAACAAATTTTAGTTGTCACACCCTAACATTACAAAGTTTAAGTCTTCAAATTATTAATGTTGTCAGGGAATTAGAGCATAAAAGTAAATTCCTGATTACTGCCTACCATGCAAGAACTTTTGATTCCTGTTTTTCAGGCAAATATTCATTTAATTAAATATTTCAGTCCTGAGCAGTTTTATAAGCTTAAGTACATAGATAGTCCCAGTAGGGGTGGTTAAAATAAAAACAGGTTAATTATCTCTTAGGAGCTGTCTTGGGGCATATATGCTCTTGACAGATTACCATATGCTAAAATAGGTATTTTGAAGCATATGTCTTGTATGTGATAAAATTTAAGTAACTTAAATCATCTTTATCATGTCTGTCAAAGCATTGATAGGAGACATGAATAAAATTGGACAAATCATAGCATTTAACATGTGGAGCTAAAAGTGTTGCTCTCATTCAGTTTAGTATCTTTCCTTGTTCTTGCAGTTTCAGAATTTACTTCAGTTCAAATTCTGTCTTGCAGTCACAAGAAGATAGGAATTTCCAATATAAAAATGGGGGAGAGGGAATTAATCTTCTCTTGTGTACATATTTTTAGGAGTTATGTCATCAGTTTTTTTCTTCCTTATACATCTTTACTGTTTTTCTTGTTTTTTTTCTGCAGATGTACAAAATCACTCCCCAGGAAGAAAAAATCGGCACCTTATTGGATAGTGTTGTTTGCAGAATGTCAACAAAAGATGTTTTGTGAAAAGGTGGAAATAAATTTCAGAGGAAGTGAAGTAGCACTGAGTAGTGTGATGACATCTGGGCTTTAACCAAGCTTGGACACAAGGGTAACCTGAGCTGTGTTCTAAGCACAGAGAGCATGCCAAGCAGAATTTGCCATTGACATTTCAGTCCTTTTTCTTAATAAGGGAGAGTTGGCAGTACTTTAAGCTGAATTTAAACAAAAGGCTTGGAAATCTGTACTTTTATCCTTTGTCAAATGTTTTTTGGTAGTCCCAGAGAGGGTTCAAACACTGTAAATCATTTCTATTGACCATGCTCTGATTTGTTTTGGTTTGGCAACCCAATGGGTGATATCCTTTTAACAATACTACTGCCAGAAATGCATCTTCACAGCCCAAGTATTTCTGATGGACTAGAAAGAGGAAATTTTCCGTAAACCATCAGCAGCATCTCCCTTTTAGTGCTACTGGGATAGAGTTGCAGCCCACCCTTTGAGGACAGGAAGGGGCAGAGGGGTGCTGGTAGTGTGGAGCAGGGGCATCAGAGATGTGTACAATGAAGAATAAGGTCAGTGTGGATAATGCTGTGGTACTGTTAGCACCTGACAGTCTGATGTCATCCATTGCTGGCTGTAAAGGATAAGATGTGGTGCTTTTACTTCATAACCCTGGTTTATGCATGGTGATACTGAACTCATAGAGCCTGGTTACAGGTGCAGAATTCACAGACAAATTTGCACCATAGGTTGTATCCACTTGTCAATAGAGCTTACATGGTATTCTTAAAGGACATAAACCTTGGTATTTTGAACCACTGCTAGGAAAGGCCATCAAAGGGAACTAGGAGGACTATTGATTTGCAGTAGTCACCAGGTGCAGGAGCCGTAAATGTGTATCATTTAATCACATGCATGCATCCCGTTTTATTAAAACTACTGTCCTGATAAGGTAGAAATCCATACTGTTTGTTATTTTTATGCTGTACTGTTTTTCTGAGATGTGTGTAAAACTATAGCTGTCTGCATTTTTTTTTCCTGATGTTTTCTGAATTATTACGATTTGTGTACTTAAAATATCTTTGGAAGAGAATGCCTCACATTCTTACACATACAAGTCTTAGAGTTGAAATGTTTTCCCATACAGTAAACAGACCAGTAAACTGACATATTGACCTGTTTTTATCTGTGTTTCTGTGTTTAATACAGAAATGTACAGCTTCAGTTTTGCATTTTGATTTCATTTAAGTCCTCCCTTAGTTAAAACACAGTAGTACAAATACCATCCTTTTCTTACCAACCAGACCAATGGTAAATCTAGTTACGAACTACTAAAAGAATTGCAAGGTTTATCAAAGGATTAGGGACAAATGGCTGTGCTGACATCTTGTTTTAAAGATGGCTTTACAGAATGCATCATCCTCTCTAAAGGGAAATGTGATGCAATAGTAAAAAATGGGGCTTGGAAGGACTTGAGTCTTCAAAAGTGTGTCACATCAGCATGTGAGAATGACCATGGAAAATAAAGAGACTTATTTTCCTTTTCTGACAGTCTAGTTGGTACATGGAATATATCATAAGATTCACTGGCTGAGCTACAATGTTTTTGTTAGTTTAAAATAACAGCAGACAGGCTTACTTAAGCCACTGCCTTTTTTGAACACCTGTAAAACATCTGTCTGGTCTGTTTAATACTGGAGAAATAGTAATAAAATGATTGCTGCATAAAAGTTTTGACACACAAGTTCCAAACCTGGGCTTCCAGTTTCCACTTCATCTATTTCATTGGTGTAGACATTAAGTAGCTTGTTACTGCTGACATGTTAAATTGTGATTTATGGTGAGATCCAAATGAGGTGTTTTCATGGGTGGATTTACAGGAAATTATTTTGGAAGCTGAAATTTCTAGTGTCATTCAGTCAGACAGATGATTTGGGTCTATGCCCTGCAAGACCACAGGTTTTCACTTAGTGTGGTTGCATTATCCAAGTTAAATGAGTTATTTACAAAAACTGGTAATAAAAGTAGATTTTGTTCACCCTGCAAAGATACAGTTGTCTTTCTGAACACATTAAAATTATTTAATTTATATCTCTAATGTTACTGATAAATCAAGCAAGGCTATTTTCCAGAAAAGCAAAAATCTAAGAAAAATGTTTTTCAAAACATTTCATGTTCTGCAGCAGTCTCTTCTGAACTTTCATACCTCATCTCCTCCTTTCACAAAGTGAAAGGGGAAACAAGTGTTTTCAATACCTTATTTGGACCTCCAGTGCTTCACTGGCAGGATTATACCTCCAGAATTTATAAATTTAACAGCTAAATGCTGCATCATGATGCGTGGACAATTATTCGAGGGTTTTTTTCCCTTGGTGGGATGCATTTGGTATTTTGTGTTTGACTTCCATCACACTGAGGCCATTGCCTCTCCCACAACCCTGATCACCAGGGGTTTTTGTGCTGCTGTCAGAATGTGTAGGTCCCTCTCCCATCTCATGTACTTCAATCAAGGGAGGGCCCATCCTTTTGTGTTCACTTGTAATGTTCATCCTGCATGTTTTATGACTGGGTCCCTGTGTTCTGTGACAATGTATTTAATGTGCTAATAATCTGTTTTCTTATTCCTTTGTGTGCTGTTCTCTGGAGAGTATCATCAAAGCACTGTTCCCACATGAAAGCAGGCTGAGGTGCTGTTTTAGCAAGGGTGCACAGGCGGGGTAACGCTGGTGGAGTGCAGCGTCAGTGGAGGAACACCAACTCCACCACCTCAGTGCCTGCTGAGAGCTGACACTGGTGTCTCTGGTGCTACACTGACCTTTGTTAACAGCCCTGGAGCTCTTTTTGGAGACATTGCATCCTGATTGTGGATGGATACCAAAATGGTGTACACAATACTTTTAAGAATTTTGTTGTCTAGAGGTACTACCTAATTACAAATGCGTATCTGAGTCTGTAAAATGTCTAAATATCTTGCAGACTTTTTTTGTTTTAATTGGGTTACTATATATTAGTTTAGGCAATGTTAAAATTTGGAGTTTAAGCTGAGTTTAGGCTCCCAAGGCTTGGACTATTGTGTCCAACAGTCACTGTCCCTCAGAGCTGCCAGTCCACTAATATGTTCTCATCGGGTGCAGGCAACCAACAGAGTTGAACAGAAACTGCCAAATGGCTCTGTGTTCAGAAAGCTTGCAGGTTGCCTGAGTGGGGTTACTTCCTTGAAAATGTGGGAATATGGAATGCCCCTTAATCAATGATGGGCTGGTGTATATAGGAGCTGGTGCTGCCATGAGACGTTAATGAATTATGGAAAATCAAGTAGTGGTTGCCAATAAATATATACAAGGTGAAGACTGAGCCAGCTGGTTGTGTGCTAAAGGATTCACAAAAGCAGCTAATTTCATTGTTTTATTTCTGAGTTTACAAAGTCATTACTATAAGTTAAAATTAATGGATGCAAGTCCCATATAAACTCTCTTCAGCAACAGAGGTGGAGAATTCAACTTTTTCAGTGATCTTCCTTTGCCAGCAGAATAGCTGGGTTTGTTGATTGTTTTTTCTTATGTTGTTGTGACATGGCACATTATTTCCCTGCTTACAGTGTATGTTTTACCATGGATTTGCACAGGCAAACTTAGCAGAGGTAGAGACTAAGAAAGTTCACAAATGGAAAGCTTGGATGGACATACAAAATATTGACCAATAAAACAGAAGTTGAACTCTCTCGAATATTGTGCTTAAAGTTTCATATACATGCTGAGGGTAATATAAATATGTACAGGTCAAACAGGTCTCTGTTATTCACAAAATTATGTTCCATACATGGCTTGTAAATGCTTCATAGATTCATTCCACAAGTAGCAACCATTTAAGCAGTTTCAAGTAAACTGAAATACACTGAGACCATTTTTTTTTTTTTGTACCCCTTGAATATGGATAACTGACACAACTATCTCTTTAAATATTTGACAAAGAAAGTTGCTTATTGCTGCTATAAGGACGAATCCTTTCTTGACCAGGCTCCCCATAGTGCCCCTAGAAGGATCATGATGATCACTGTGTAAAGGGTGTGGATTGTAACAAGATCATCTCCATGCTGGTGCTTGAACCCAGAGGTGCTGTGCCAGTTCTCACTTCTGTTTCCATTAGTTTTCTGTCTGTGAGCACGGAGAGAATGTATCCTGACATAACAAAAAGCAAGATTAAGGTTAAAATTTATTCTTTATTAACAGTTCAGTTGTGTTTGTAATGAAATCCAGAGTGTGCATTGAATCATTGACTAGATTTGGGAAGAGCTCTTAAGATTGTCTGGAGCTAATAAAATAATTTCTATAATTGGAAATGCAAAACATTTACCAGCCATTTGGTATTTCTCTCCCACTGATAGGCAGAGAGACTGGGTATGGGCTTGTTAGAGGAAAAACAGTGTTCTTACTCCTTGCTATTGATATAGATTGTTATATGAGAAAAAACATACCCTTTTATTTTGCAATATTATGAAAGTGTCAGGGTCCAAATAAAAAATTACAGTTTCCAAAGCTTTAATGTATAGGAATAAGCAGAGCATGTGATCTTCCCATCCTGTTCTGGCATGTTTTTCTATCTCTGCTTTTCACAGGGGACTTGTGTCAAGGTTTTTATTAGGCAAAGACATCAGTCAGGAGTAACTATATAAAGCATATCTGCAGGATTTCCTGTAGTAATATTTGACATTGCTTTGTCACCTTTCTCAAAGTGTTTGAAAATAGAAGTATTCACCTATGGCAACAGATCTCCAGCTATTATCTTCACTTAAAATTTCCTGCTAAGCCTTAGTCCTAAATCCAAAAGTTCATGTTGCTTTTGCCTTTTTTTTTTTTTTTAAGAGAAAAGAAATGTTTAATGGGCATAATTACATCTGAACTGGAATGCCAAAAGGAAATTAATTAGCTTGTGCTTTTCACATTTGTTAAGAAGGGGTCTGAGATGGATTAGATGTATTGCAGGTCTGATTCATATATGTTCCTGCTGTTACTATGACAGAAAAGTAGAGATTACCACAAATGTTAGAACAGATAGAGCTTAGAAGTAAAAAAGAACTTTAAACCACAAATTACATACTTAGGCACACTTGGGAGAGAGCTGTCAAAACCGATTTGTTAAAGCGGAAAGACTAGGTAATGCAATCTCCAAAAGGGAATTAATCAATAAAATAGGAGTTCTGCCATTGAGATTTTACAGAAGGTAGTTTGCTGGATTAGACATTTAACATTTTTATCAGGACAATCTGTCATGTATAGCTGCAAATCAAATAACACAGTTCATGATCATTTGGAAGCATCATGTGAAGACTAAGAGAGGAATATTCTGGCAATAGTTTGCTTTTCTATTCCTACCTGAGGGAAATGCAGTATATGCAGCTTACCTTCTGCAAGCATTCATGGTATCCGGGTGATTGAGTTCCCACTGCGTCAGATTTCTTTTTGCAGAGAGGAAAAAAGCTTATTTTATCCTCGTTTCCGTGCACAAAATCAGAAAATTTTCTCTCAGTGCCAACAAAAGGAATCTTCCTTGCAAGCCTACCAACTTGACCAGCAATAATCTCAGAACATTTCTTATGTGTCGATAAAATCTCTCAAATTAATAGTTTCTAAAGCTGATTTTGACACAGTTCTTCAAGAAATTCCCTTGAGCAGTTCACAAGGCAAGTTATGAGTAATCCCAATGAACGGCTTCTTTTAGCTGCTGGGATCTCTTGTTATAAACAGTAGCTCACTGCTGAAGTGTTGCCAAATTTATAACAACACAAGTAATGCACAGATGGAGGATGGTGGTGATGAAAAATGCAGGATGAGCTGTAACTTAGAATTACTTTGTATTAGATCACAAGCTATTTTGGGGTAAAACTTAGTTCCTTTCTACAACTGCAATTTGGTTTAAATTGCCTTGAGTGAAATTTCAAGCCACCATCACTTACATGTGCTTTAATACTCAAATATTTTTTATGAAAAAAGCAGAGGGCTTTTTAAAAAGACTTTGACTTGTATAATACAATCACATTCAATAAACAGTCAATAAGCAATATATATTTGCTTATAATATATATACCACAAAATTATATTGCAAATAATATATATACCACCAAAAAAACCCCACATTTTGACATCTAGGGTTAGTAACAAAGTCATACACATCCTATTATTCCCTGACCACCTGGAGCCATTAATTACCAAGAGGCTGTGCCAGTGCAGAATTTCTCCCAAGCTGGGTACTGCATGATCAGCTGGGTTAATGGTGGGTTTAGTATAACCAAGTCAATGCCCCTGTAATGATTTGTAGGGCTTGTAAACAAACACATTTAAATTTGCAATTTATAAAGACAGACCAAAACTCTTCCTTGCCAAAACACTTTATTCCATCATCTTTAAAATAATTGCATTTCTCATTTAACTGTTACTTTCAGTTTATTGTCACATATAAATAAGACAAATCTGAACTTGTAGTTCTGGTGCATTTCTAACGGATTTTGCCTTTTCTTCACATATGTCCCAGTTACAGCATCTATGTTTTTATATAAATAAAACTGGTTCCTTTAGTTTTATTAAAACAACGAGTAATTTCCAGATATGTCCTGGAAGAATCACTTACACTCCAGAAAATTAAGACTGAGTTTGTTGACCCATGTGACTAAAACTGTGTCAATGGAATCAGTGAAACTACTAAGGACAAAGATTCATTCTTCATTATTAGTAATATATTAAATACAGTAAAACAGAAATATTACAATTGGAACTTGGAAGAAGGAATTCAGACATGAGTAAAGAATTACTGACTTAAATCAGTTCTAGCTTTTTCAGACCTGATCCCGATAATATAGGAAGTTACAACTCTTGGATTTAGTTTTCTTAAATAACATATATATGGATAGATGCATCAGTAAAAGCTGTATACTACTCCAGGGACACAGCAACCACAAAGCCTAGAACTTCAGCGACATTGCAACTACAAAAGGCAAATGGGAGCATTCATGTAATCTCCCTACACTTGATGACAACAGCTTTATTTCAGAGTTTTCTTTATTTTTGACCATTGAATTTCTTGCCATTAAAACCCTGCCCTAGTCCATTTGGTTCACTTTTTTCTCTGAATTTCATTTCTTTTCACAAAAGGAAAATCTTCATTTTGTGAAAGGAAATGAAATTTTGCAATTTGAAACAGTACAAATTCAGCAAGGTTTGGTCCATTTCCCTGCGCTTCATGTCATCCCTGTTAATTTTTTCACTTTGGTTCAGAAATTTCAACAATGAAATCTTGAAAACAGAGAAGGAAGTGCAACAAACACTCTGGAAGGGAAATATGATACGATTAAAAAAATGCAATTGAAAAAAAAAGAAAATTTGGGAATTGAGTGACTCCAACCAAATCAATTGGGATGAAATGAGGTGCAGTGAAAAGGACCAAAAATTACCAAAATTATACTAAAGTCCCAAAATCAGGGAATGAAATAAAATAAAAAGGAGAAAAAATTGATGAAATGAAATGCTTAAAGAAAAAAAAAGTCTGCAACAAAGGGAAAACAATCAAATGGCATGGGATGACATGAAGTGCAGGGAAATGGACCACACCTTTCCAAATTGATCGTCATTGAAATGGCAAGATGTCCTTTCAGGAAATGAAGAATTGCATTTCCTTTGAGGAAATGAAGAATTTTGTTTTATGAAAAGAAATGAAGTCTTGAAAACAGAGAAAAAAAAGTGAAACAGACTAAATAGGAAGTATAATGACATGAAATTGAATGAGAAGAAATAAAAGAAACCAATAAATTGAAATAGTTACATCCATAAGACTAATTCAAGGAGCAATGAGGAAAACATCAAAGAGAATGGGTAGAAAATTCTGATGTAAAAAACTGGAAGACAGAAACTGTAACAATGAGGATTGGCCTATTTTAGAAGCAACTAAGCCAGATAGTTCCCCATGCAACTGACCACTGCCAGCCTTGTGTCATTTCAAGGGAGGGAGAAGTGTGAGGTGAGCATGTTAATATTCAGCAGAAACCTATTTGTCCCAGCCATTTACTGTGCATATTTGCCAATAAATAGGGTACTTGCTATATACTCAAGTTACATGCATACTCCATGTAGGGCTCCATGAAAGGTAAAAAAATGACAAATGGTCAGCTGGAGAAAGGGTTAGAGAGTATCTTATCTGTATCAAAATCTGCAGGTTATGATTAACTATTCTTATTCAGCTAATAAATTCCAGCTGGTTGATTTAGTCATCTAAAAATACTTAGAACAGAATACGTCACTGGAACTTAATTTCTCATACCATGCATGCATGAAAAGCCTAAGCACTGCAAAGATTAAATGTTAGGTGAAATGTGAAGAGTAATGTCTTCCTAGTGTTTTTTATGAACATGGTTCTACTTTTAAAACTATTCTGACAGTCAGGCTGCTTTAATGGGACTGATAATAATAGTCTGTAGCTGGGACTGATATCCATGCATCTCATTATTCCTTATGCCACTTTAGGATTAGACATATATCCCCTTCACAAAATCACTGAATCCATTAGGCTGGAAAGGACCTCTGTGTCCAACCTTCGAACACAGCTTTGACAACCAGACCGTGGCACTGAGCGCCACATCGTCGTCCCTTGAAGACCTCCCGGATGATGACTCCAGCACCTCCCCGGGCAGCCCATTCCAATGTCTAGGCACGCTTTCTGTGATTAAATTCCTCTAATGTCCAAGCCGAACCGCCGTTTAGCTTCACTTCTAAAGCTCAGCTGCTGGGACAGCCACATCCAGCAAAGGAGCCAAGGAAAGCAAAGACCGGCGCGCAGGCCGCCCGCAGCCGGCACAGCGCCTGCAGACACGGCCCCAAGCGAGACCTCGGCAATGCCCACACCCCGCTGAGGCTGTCCCTTGCGCTGCGGTTGCCGAGGCCGGCCAGGCAGGCCGGGCTGAGCAAGGACGACCCTCGGGGGTGCCGCAGCACGGCCAGTGCCCGGGCCAGCGGCGAGGACAGGGCGGGGCGGGGCGGCGCGGCCCAGCACAGCAGCCGTTGGGCGCCCCTGCCAACTACAAACCCCACAATGCACCGGAAGTCTCGTGTATCCTTCGAACCTGCCAATGAGGGCGTGCGGGGCGCGTCACGTGAGCGGGGCGCGCTTTCCAAGCCCGGGCGGGAGCGCGGCTCGCGCGGTGTCGGTGAGGGGCGAGCGGTGAGCGCAGGGGGAACGGCGGCGGCGCGGGCGTGTCCGTGTCCGTGTCCGTGTCCGTGTCCGTGTCCGTGTCCGTGTCCGTGCCCGGGGGCCACTCCCCGTTTCCCCTCGGGGAAAGGGGGGAACCTGTGCGAGCTGGCCTGAGGTGGGGCGTTGGGCGGTCGGTGGGATGATGAACTGTGTGGCATCCCATAAACCAACTTTCCGGTGGTGCCCAGCGACAGGACGGGTAGCAATACTAAATGAAGCTAAACCACAGGAAGCTTCGTTTCAGCGTGAATAGGAACTTTACATCGAGGGTGGCAGAACAGCGGAATAGGCTGCCCAGAGGGGTCACGAGCCTCTTTCTCTGGAGATATTCCTGACCCACTTGGAGGCGTTCCTGAGTAACTTGCTCCAGGTCACCCTGTCTTGGTATGGGCTTGGCCTAGACGATCTCCAGAAGTCTCTTTCAACCCTAACTATCCTGTGATTCTGTGTGGCAGTCCCTAAATATGGGAGTCTTCAGAGGGACTGTTTACCTCTTCACTAATTCAGCAGTATCATCAAAGCCTGTGACCCTGTTGTTCGGTTTTGGGCTTTTTTAAAACCACCTGCATGTCTACATCTATGTTTTCCAGGTACTATGGAGGAAAAAAAAGAAATGTCGGTAGATAGCCTGAGTCATATGACTGAAGAAAAATTGGATATTTGCATGAGCAATGGTAGGTGGAAAGCATGTTGAGTTATTCTCTGTACCACATAGAGAATAACTCAACATATAACTCAAAAATTTTGGTAATTTTGGGTCATAGGTTAGGACAGATCAGAGCAGTGGACATCTGTCCGCCTTACATCACATTGTGTGTACTCACTTCCTTGGATGGGCTGCTGTTACCAGGCTCAGAAGCCTCCTGAGGAGCTTGTGGAGTGTGGTGCTAAAGCTTGTGTAACAGTGACTGATGTCACTCTTCTATAGATCTAATTTGAGCTCCTCCCTTATCCAGCAGCTGCTGATTTACATTGTGTATAGATTAACTAATAAGAAAAGTACTCTTTCTCACTGGCTCCTGCTACTGTTCTGTGGTAACCTGAAAAAGAAAAGTACTGATGGATGGGACAAATGCCTGGTCACATAGCTCTGGATTACATGTTCTCACTTATTTTGATTGGAGGCTGCTGACAAGCTGCATCCCATGTTGCTGTTACAGCTGCTTAGAAATTACCATTAAGATATTTCATGATATTTGAGCATCTCACAATTATGCTCATATTCACAACTGTACCTTAAATTTCTTGGACCTAAAATATGTTTTCCTGAGTTTAGTATTTTAAACTTGGTAGCTAAAGCTTTTTTTGCCAGCTGACATCACTCACCAAATTGTCAAAGCATATGCAATCATTTTCATTACAAATCCATGCTGTGACAAAATCCTTTTTATAGTTTCAGACTTTCCTCTTCTGAGTGATGAAAAGTTTGATTTTGACCTTTCACTCTCTTCAACAAGGTAAGTTATGTAAGTACTGTACACCCTTCAAAACGGACACATGTACGGTGCTGGGCTAAGTTATTTTTCTTTGTAGTGGAAATGAAGATGAAGTTTTTGTTGGACCTATGGGACACAAAGAAAGATGTATTGCTGCCAGTATTGAAGCAAAAAAGTGTGTGTCTGCTTTTGATGATAAACTCACATGGAGCCCACTTCAAGGAGAGAAATTTGTGGAAATTTTCAAAGAAGCTCATTTGTTGGCACTGCAAATACAGACTGGAAGCAAGGATGAGGAGACCAAAATAAGCCAATCTGAAGAACAGGAAAACAAGATTATAGAAACATTTGTGGAGGACTCAAAGTCAAAGCTGAAGATACTGAGAAACAAAAACATAGAAATAAGTCCCAGGCCTGCTAAACGGGACACATACTGTGTGCAGGACAGCCCAGTGTGTCAGCTCCCACCTTGTTTTCAGAAGGCATCACATGAACTTGTGTCAGATGGCAAAGTACATGCTCTTCCTGCTCCTCCTAACAGAAGTCCTGTTAAAATTTGTGCGTCTCCTACAAAAAATGCCAGTTTACCACTAACAGAGGAGCAGGAAACTAATACAAAGGCCATTGGCAAACTGCCAGCGGCAAAACCATCATCTGCTGGAAAAAGCAATTTGTTGACAATTGACAAGGTAAATTCTGGTGCTGGTCAACATTTTCTTCAAGTGAAGTCTGTGTTTTAGGAATATTGAACCTGTCTATAATCTTTTATTTTTAAAACCAAACTTTAATCTTCTGATACTTCTCTACCTTATAAAATCCTTAGTCAGAAAACATATCTAGAACAAAAAATGAGGGCAGGTACTATGGTATAGTAACCAATTACTTTGTTTATTGTGACAGTGTAAAGCATTTGCAAGTAAATTTCTTTTCTGTTGTATTCTGGTTTTGTGAATACTATAATTCTTGGCTTCTCTTCTGTCTGGTTTCTGACACTGCTGTGTTGCTGGTAAAATTACTACATTGTTACACTTAATGTGTAATTTAATGTATAAAAGTGGCTTTATTTAATCCTTGTCAATGGAAATGTATTCTGGGATAGCAAGGAAACAGTTGTGTTAGTGACCTTGTGAGCACAAATCACAGTCTTTTAATAGAATATCTCTTGGATTTTATTGCTCTACACTTTATAGCTTAGGCTCTAGTATGTATTACAGATTTTACTGAAGATGTGGCAGTGGCTTCTTAAGAACCATCACCTATAGAAATTGCAGGACTGATATACTGGTGCCTAGGCTGACTCTTTTTTTCTAATTCCTTTAAGTCCATACTCAATTTTGTGGCAGGAATAAAAATAACTGTTTGTCTCCTAGATCTGATGTTCCAATTCTATGTAATAATCCAGATACAATGATTTGTTTCTAGGAAAAGTCACTTCTTAAAATGTAATCTGAGTTAAGGAGTGCCTCTAAAGTTCACAAGTGAAAAGTAACAATACCAAGACAAAAAATGGCGAAATAATGTGTTAAATAGGGCTTTTTTTTTGCTTTTGATTCAGCCTGGCTTAAGGAAGATGACATATCTGAAATGTCCTCGTGTTGCCAGTGGTCTCCCAAGGAAGGCTCCATCATCATCATCTTCATCATCAGTTTCGAGCATGAACTCAAGTCTTAATTCAAGTTTACCCATTTCTCCTATAGGCAAAACAGGTAATCACTCTTACTACGGATTTGTGCCACAAATCAATTTTGGCTAAGCGTTTTCTGGACTTTGGATTTGGAAATGTCTTAATGGTATTCAGTACATTAAAGCACTAAGAAATATTTTGTATGGAGAATAAAATTTTGTAGGCTAGCCCAGTAAATCCCTGTGGACTAAAGATAGAGGTTAGACATCCATAATTTGTAGATTGACTAGATTTTTACAAACCTGATGCCTACCTGTGAGCATCTGACACAGCTAGAAAGGAAGCAATGCCCTAGGAGTTCTCTTTCCTTTATGCATGGTCTCCTCTGTTATAGCCAAGAACGTGAGATTCTGAATGCTCTAAGCTTGTCTGACTGGAATTAAAAGAAAAAACAAAACACCAAAACAACTGAACTTTGGAAGGAAGGGGAAGGCATTATTCCATGTTTCTGTAAGCCTAAATGAAGGATGAGCTTTACTCCAGCAGATGGGAAAACCACCTTTGGGGAGATAACACAGCCAAGAGGCTTGTACTGTGTTGAGACCATGAATTTGACCATTTCAGTAAGCCTCAAAGGATCAGGAAAAGAGTCTTCTAGAAGTACTGGCAGATGTAAGGACTACAGTTCTTGTACATCTATCAAAATACCATGTTTGAGCAAATTTTTATTTTGCACCTTCTTTCTGGGAGATTCATAACATATTATTAAAAGCTTAGTATGAACTATTTTATGCAGTAGAACTGTCTTATCAAGATTCATCCTGTTAATGAAAGTAACCTACGGACTAAAAGTAAGAACTTTACAGAAATCTGGGGAAAATGCTTGTATGGTAGTTTAGCCAGTGGTGTTAATGAGTGTAACTCACACTGTTACCTCCTTGAAAGTCTGCTTAGGGGAACAGGGCCAGCTCTGCTGGGAGTAAATGCTGGAAGTAATTTGAATCTGCAAGCTGTTCTGGCATTCCTTGAAGAATATTCTTTCACTTGATTGCAGTAATTCAGGAATTTGGTGAGAAAGCTATAAAATAAAATTGCTAAAGAATTTGAGGAATATAAATAAATAAAGTAGTCGTATATATTCTCCTTAAGCTTGAACTGTTTGAACCTAAATTTAAGTGCTGTAAATTGCTGTTTTTCTTTCCTATGTTAGAATAATTTCTCTGCTTAGTCAAAAATCATAGAAGTACAACTTTCTATTTCAGGAAAATCAAGCATGTCATCAAAAGCCAGTGTGAGTGGCTCTAAGCTTTCATCTGGTACAAGCAGGCTGGCCCTTCTCAGACCTACCACAGTGTCATCTCTGGGGGCTGCCAATACTGAGAAATCCAGGAAGCAAGTGAGATCAGCTAGTACTCCCAAAATACCTAGTGCCATAAGCCTGGCTAAATCTTCAGCTTCTTCAGCATCATCTGAGGCTGCAGGCAGTGGAATTCGAAGACCAAGCTCTGTTTCCAGTCTGCAGCAACTATGTCAGCAGAATAAAGATGGAAGTTCAAAAGGAAGCCTGTGTCCAAAGCCCAAGGCTAGAGTTTTGTCTGTTTCCACAAGTCAAACTAAGGCTCCTGTGAAGACTCAAGGTAAGCACATACTTCATATGACCTGTCTTCTATGTTCATTATTAAAAGCAAATGTTACCTTGAAGGCTTGTTATTTGTTTCATTACTCTTCTGTCCACCTTTGGGAAGGAATTGGTATTTAACTAAAAGATATCTGCTGTAAAAGAAATAAATATGAATCTGATAGCAATTAACAAAAATTTTCTCTTTAGATGCAACACCAAACCAATTGGCACCAAAAGCAGCACCATCTCTTGGATTAACATTTTGTGGCACACCTGGAAGGTAGGGCTTCACTGAAAATCAAATGCACTGAGGCATCCTTCTTAGCATGCATCATGGTTGGGTGTCACAACAGTCTTTTAAAAGTTCTAACTTCATTGTCCAATCACTTGAGAGTTGAATGCGTTGATGTCTCTTGGAACTGATTTAAAACAAATCAAAACCCAACACTAAACCAAATAATCCCTCCCACTCTATTCAGAAGAGGTTTCTTTGCAGTGCTAAATAGACTAAAATAATTCATAAAAGAATTCTTATCAAGTAAAGCCTGTACTATGCTGTGATTATCAACCTTAAGGTGACTACTGTTCTCTTACTGACCAGAGGGAAATGGATTTCTATAATTTGGTGGAATAGTGTTATTCAAACAGTTTCTAGAAGGTATTGGCTAAAGCATGTTCCTCTTCTAGTGCCATAGCAGTCAGCACTCCTATGAAAGCCTCAGAAGATAAGGCCTTCCAGACTTTTTGTTTTCCTGAGAACTCTGCCACCATGACTCCGGCCAGTGTGAAGCGGTCTGGCCTACCTACACCTGTCCGTCAGATCTCAGGGTTCCCAGCAGTGACTCCTAAAACTGTACCAAGAATGCCTTCTTCTGCACGTGCTGCATCTCTTCAGCAGAGCTTCAGCTTTTCTGCCAAAAAGACTTTTACAGCTGGGTAAGACAGAAATCTTCACGTATGAAATGAGTACTGTAGGCAAACTGCCTCTTACTGAGTTCTAGTGATGACTGGGGTTTCAAGGACCTCTGCTATATGTTAGAATAAACCATTTGAGCACAGAAAAGCTGAGTGGCCCTAATAAAAATTTATAACTTGTGACTAGTAAAATGGTATAAGCCATACTGAAGTGAGTTAATATCTAGCACAAAGAATTACAGCTTTAATAGGAAATTATTTGTATTTCTGGAACAAAGGAGAAATTTAAGTCTTGTGTCTGATGCTCTGGTGTTATTTTGCTATTGCCTTCAGGGAAATAGCTGCTTAAAATGCATATTACTTTTAACTTTTGTTTTATATTGTTGCCAATGGTCTGTAAAATGATACTTTTTAAAGCATCAGTCTAAAAGCCAAGGATTTTGTTGACTTGAACGTTATTTTCTGAGCAGTTTTACTCATGTTTTAATTCTGTTTTTCTTTTTTTTTTCCCGTGAAAGTAGTGTTGCCTTCTTTGTTTTATCCACCCAGCATCTTCTGACAAGGGCCATATATATATATGTATGCAGACTTGTTTTGTGGCTGGTGGAGAGGAACTGTATTAAAGTAGGAATGATTCATGGCTAGAAAAGTGTGTCATGTTACTTAAGCCAAATGTCTCAAATTGTCTTTTCTCTCAAAGAAACAATTATTCTGTCTACAGTGACTTTATCAAAGTGATCAGATTACAGCTTCTGGTCCCCCAGCCAGTGTCAGTACTTCCTTTCAGCAGGGACTGAACTTTTTTTTGCATGGGTAGACTATACTTTTTCTGCAGAATGAAGTATTTTGTGGGTAACTAGCATTTATTTAGATAAAAATATGGGAAGCTTTTTGGTCATTAAAGTTTGAAGTAAAAAAGGAGACAATGAGGTTAGAAATTGGCTTTTCTGTCTTTAGTAGTTAATGCTGATTAAAGAACTCAATTATTGCTGATGTTCTTTTCCGTAGTTCTAAACACAAACAAGAGAGTAAGACACAGCTATCTTCAGAAGATGATACATCTCCTCCAGCTGTGCTGCCTCTTGTACTTAACTTCTCACCAGAGAAAGGTGCTACAGAAGGAGCAGAAAATGCATTAAAAGAGGCAGAAGTACAAAATGAGCTCGCTGAAGAGAAACAACCCGAGGTAAGAAATGACAATGTATTTTCCTACAAAACTGCTAAGTAAAGTGCTTGGATTATTTCAAGATAAGGGATAAGTAGGGAAACCACTTCGGTATACATGAAGTTAAAATGTGTTAGAATAGTGAAATAATAATGAAATTCTGAGTTGGAAGGGACCCATCAGAATCAGCTCCTGGCCCTCCACCAGGCACTCCAGGAATCACACTAAACACTTCTAGAACTCTGTCAGGCTTGGTACTGTGACCACTTCCTTGGGGAGCCTTTTCCAGTGCCCAGCCACCCTCTGAGTGAAAAACCTTTTCCTGCTATCCAATCTAAACCTCCCCTGACTCAGCTTCATGATGTTTCCTTGAGTCCTGTCACTGATCATGAGAATGAAGAGATTGGTACCTGCCCCTCTGCTTCCCCTCATGAGGATGTTCAAAGCCACAGTAAGGTCTCCCCTCATCTCCTCGTCTCCAGGTTGAACAGACCAAGTGCCCTCAGCTGCTCCTCACAAGGCTTCCCCTCCAGGCCCATTGCCTTCCTCTGGATGCTCTCAGATAGCTCAATGTCTTTTTTTATATTGTGGTGCCCAATTGGCTGTAACCATGTGCACCCTCTAGTGCCTATATTTAGCACTGAATATAGCTCAGTATTTCCACTGTGTTCCCATCTCAAATGCAGTGTCAAGTACTTGCAGACTGTATATTGTATTTCCACTTTTGGAAGAGTACTGTGAAGTCCTTGTAGGTTCAGTTAGAAAAGTAGTGTTGCAGTCATAAAGCTCCTTCAGGGATTAAAAAAAACCTTCCAAACCCAAAACACTGCCATAGCTAAATTCAGTAACCTAAAATGAGTGCAAATCTGCATACAGTGAGGGAGAATGAAACCCCAAAGTCCATATATAGCAGGAAACTTAAGTGTCAAGTAATTAGTTCAGTGAACACTTCCCCTCTCTCAGGAACGTAGTGGCTTCATGTTGAAAGCTGGCACTCCAGAGGCATTAAGAAGAAAGGACTAAAGTTGCAGTTCTGAAATATTAACCTGACAAAGTGGTTATTGATTTATAAATACTGAGGTTTAGAATAATCTGTGGATTAATTACATGATGGTATTTTATCAGTGTGTTCCTTGTTGGCTTACTTGGTGGCACAAGTGTGTGTTTCAGAATTGCTTAGTACATGTATGGGGTAGTTAAACTGGACAAAAGGATAACTGTGGTGTGAAGCTGTAGAGAATAGTTTGTATGGCTAAATAACATTGCACAGTAATTGTAGTTAAATCATTTAAGAGGGTTACTAATCTTCTGTTTTAAATTTAACTATACTTTTAAGTGAAAAATTGTTTTATGCCCCAAGGGAAGGGATCTCTTGCTTTGCCTTACCGTGTTTTCCCTGTGATGCTAGCCAGAGAGTAGGAGCTGAGGTTTTTACACTGTGTGCAATGAATCCTGCATGAAAAATACCAAGCTGTAAATTAAGCCTAATCTATAGTTATTAAAGGTGTATAAGCTAAATTGATTGCCTCAATGTATATGAAGGAAACTTGGTGAACAGGGGAGAAAACCTGAGTTTTTGTTTTAAAGGCTTTACTGATAGATATTGGAGCAGACAAATCTCTTCCACACGCTTCTGAATGTGAAAGTAGACCTTTGATTGACCTTTCCAATACTCCTGAAGTGAGTAAGAGTACTTCTGCAAAGCCTGTGTTACCTGGGCAGATAAAGGTAAGCTTTATTCAAATCATCTGGTGCAAGTTATGTCAGCAGAAAAATGTCAACTGTCTGCAGAGCAGTTCCACAATACTGGAGGAATTATTTAATATTATCTCAATATTATATGTCAAAGAATGAGCATGTTTTTAAAAACCTGAACACAAAAGCTTGAGTTTGGTGCTTGTATTTGTCCTGTAGATACTAACAGGAACCCTAAACAAGAAAAGTACTTGAGAATAATAGAGATTATAGCTGCTAGTAGGTATGTACCACAGTTGACTACAATAGCTAAATTTTTATGCTTTTCTTTCAGCTGATTGATTTCAGTTCTCCTCTTATCACTCTGAGCCCTGATGTAAACAAAGAAAATCTGGATTCCCCTCTACTGAAGTTCTGAATTTGAACTGAAATGAAGAATTCTTAGCAACTGTGATCTTTGAAGTGGTTTTGGTGTTATTCCTCATTCGTGTAATTTTTTGAAGATGGCTGTAGATTGTCTGATGAACTTCATTAACAAAATAGAATTCTAACACTCTTGATGCAGTCTGATAATGATTTTATTCATGGATGTGCTGCAATGGATGTATTTTAACTATGTTGCTCTAAGACAAAAAAATTGGAATTGTAATTCCAGTTTGAATTGGAAGACTGCCTCCTTCTATTGATTGTCATTCGATTCCTCTATGTACAACAAAGTTTTAATTTAAAATAAATGAGTTGTTTGCTAAACCTGTACAAAATAGTAACTTTTAATTTGCATGCTTTTCTATTGTTTCACTAACAAATGCTAATATGTAGGTTAAAAACCAGCGGACTTCAGGGTGATGTAGCAAGTTTGGAAACAAACATTTTAGTATTGAATGACAGTAGAATAAATCAACCGCAATGAGAAGATAACAACTTATTACTGCCAGGTGACTTACTGGTCAGTAAGTCTGACTACGACTGCTGGTAGTCGTAGCTGCCCCCAGCAGAGATAAACTTCGGCTTATTCAGGTAGAACGGACATGAAGCAATCACAGGGAGAAGTTTTCTTCTGGGTTTTCCCTTATCTGACTGACGGTGCTGGTCCCGTGGCTCAGGGGCAGTAGAGGGGTCGGGCCCGGCACGCGCGGGGGTTGTGGGTGGCCCGGTGGGGGCCCGGTCCCAATCCTGGTGCGCTCCCCTGCGGCTGCCGCCGCTGCCCGGCCCGGCGCGGCGCGCAGGCGCGTGCCCGCGGGAGCGCGGGGCGGGCGGCGGTGGCGATGCTGGCGGCCCAGGCGCGCCGCGTGGCCTGCGCCGTGTCCGGCGGCGTGGACAGCGCCGTGGCCGCGCTGCTGCTGCGCCGCCGAGGTGCGGGGCTGGGCTGGGGCCGGGGCGGAGGGAGCGGGAGCGGTGCGGCCCGGCCCTGCCGTGCGCCGTGCTGCGGGGCCCGCGCGTCCCCTCTGCACCCCGCGCAGCCGGGGCCGGCCGGCGCCTCTCCCGCGCTCGGCCGCCCCTCGGGCCGGTGGAGCGGCCCGCGCCGGGCCGGGCTGCGCGGGGAGCCGGGGAGCCGGGCAGGGCGGCGCGGGGAGCCGGGGAGCCGGGAAACCGGGCCGGGCGGCGCGCGGCCGGCAGAAGGGAAGGGCCGGAAGAGAGCGGGCCGGCGGTGTGACTCGGCGTCGCGTTAGGTTGCTGAAGAGCCGGGATTAGCTGTTACCTGGAGAAATAAACAGCTATGCAGTAACTGTAGTGTAAAATGTAGCACAGGGTTGCTCGTATCTTTGGTAAGATGCAGATGATAAATGACTTATTAAAGTCATTCTTGAGAAACACAGGGTTTGTGTCCAGGCTGCAAAACCTTAGCTTTTTAAGTAATTCTTGCCTTCATTTCATAGGGTACCAGGTGACAGGTGTGTTTATGAAGAACTGGGACCCTCTGGATGAGCAGGGAGCTTGCTCCATTGACAGAGATTGTGAAGATGCTTATCGGGTGTGCCAGAAACTTGATATCCCGTTTCACCAGGTTTCCTACGTGAAGGAATACTGGAATGAAGTATTCAGGTAGAAACATATTTACAATAGCTGGTAATTTATATTATATTCATATTAAAAGCCCTAAAGCCTGTTAAATATTGAGGAATTATTTTTTCTCTTGTTCGTATTTAAGGTCAGAATTTATATTTTGCTTTTAATATGTTATTTTTCTTTTTTAGTTAGAGATTTCTGCTTGTGTGAATGTGTAGCAATTGCTTTGTTGCAGCTTATCTCTTCAGCTGCTGATGTACTGGCCCAACCTTACTTTAACTTGAAAAAAAATTATTTAAAAGGGGTACTGTTATTCTATATGTGTGTAATTTATGCAGTGCATTTTGCACACATAATGTGTGCTGAATCCAGTTAAGCACAAATGATTGTGACCTAGTCTTGCTTTTTTAAACTTATAACAAATATGAAACTGTTCTCTAAAGAGGGTGCTCAGATTTTCTGTGAATTTGTTGCACTTTAAGCAAAGTTCTACACAGGAAAAGCTGAGAGATTTTTGTGGAAAGTGGGACAAAAAGGGTCACATTGGTATAACAGCATAATTTATCTTTATGCACTGGACATAAGTACATAAAAATTGTTCCCTGTTCTTCGTCATCCCCCTTTAAGTAGTGCTGTTATCACCTTACATGAAGCATGCTACTTGTACTGCATGTTGAAATGACATCAAGCTGAGCACCAAACTTTTAGACAGTCAGTGTAGAAAACAGCAGAACAACTCTTTTCTAGGGAAGATAACTCTTTTTTTTCCCTTTTTGGTGTAAAAAAATTAGTAAGTGCTACAAAACTTCTTGGGGTTTATTAGTACAGTGTTTCCTAACATTCTGTTACAAGTGTCTCAGTTTGTTCCAGAATCCTTTTTTCTTTACCATCAACACTGATCTTAAATTTACTCCTCCTCTGGCTCTCTCTTTAAAGAGTTATTCACCATAAAACACCTTTTGTCACGAGAACAGTTCCAGGTCTTGTCTTTTCCGTGGTTTATGCAAAGACTGCTCCAGTTCACTCTGTCAGAGAGAGATCCAGCAGACACCCTTCATTGCCCTTTCTCTGGTTCTGTGCTTTACTGGAAGCTCTGAATTGGTGTGAGGGTGGCTTTGTGGTGACTCCTTCATCGAACTCCGAGGGTACCATGAGTCAGGTGTGAGCCTGCAAGAGGGAGGCAGCTCTGGATAGACCCAGCTGATTTAATTATTAGTATGAGTTGTTGAATTTATAACTTTTAAAAAGGAGTTAGAGAAAATAAGAGACATGTTGCTTTATTTTCTGTTTTTTAATGTAGTGTCACATGGTAAGGAAGAAGCAGTTGATTGATTCTATTTCAGATGGAGAAAAGTAAAACCAAGTAATAGGATTGCTGCTGTTCTCTTAAATCCAGTCTGTGCTCTCAGTTCTTCTTGAGTGCAGTGGCTACTGACAACAAATCTGACAAACAAAATGATGCAGTGATAAGGCCTTTTGATATCCAGGGTAGTGTTGTATGCTGGTTTAATTTCATTAGTTATTATTTCAGCGTTTTCTAAGTAATTATGCAGCAGGGTAGAACTACAACATCGAGAAACTTAGAATTTCTAGGAGGGAAAAAAAAAAAGACAGGAAAAAGTCCCTAAGCCCCATGAGTGGCTGCTTGTAGTGACATTATTGCAGCTGAAGTTACTGTCTGTTCAGCTGAGACACTCCTGGTGTGTACCACCATATTGTCCCCATTACTGAATAATTAAATAGGGTTGTTTAATTCTGAAGGTAAGTATTCTGTGAGAGATGAGTAGGATGTGCACAGTGGACAGCCACATCTGCCTAGAGGGAATATTAATTTAATAAAGCAGGGTTACAAGATTGTAAGTGATAATTTGAACCTGTCCTCAGTGCACTTTGTATAAAATCTTCCAAACACTGTTTTTTTGCACAGCAAAATATAATGGATTGTTTATTGATGCCATAAAATGTTTACGGTGACTGGGTCTTCTCTGGGACTGGGACTCAGCTTTTCATGTTTGAACACTGTCCAGTTTTTGATAGTATTATCCATGTTAATGAGTCTGATAGACATTTGAGTCTTTATTTTACAGTGACCTCTTAAAAGAGTATGAATTGGGACGGACGCCCAATCCCGATATTTTGTGTAACAAGCACATTAAATTCAACTACTTTCTGCATTATGCTGTGGATAACCTTGGTAAGGCATTTTCAAGTGTGTCAATACAGGGTGTGTGCCATGGAAGTGCTTAAAGGAAACAAACTCTTTAAAAGGTGGAGAAATACTTGAGTTCATGTGCATGCCGAACTCATATCTCTGTAGTTGTGTGTTAGTCATTGCAAAGTATTTTGTTTTAAGATTGCTTTTACATAAAGAATCACAGAATGGTTCAGGTTGGGAGGGATGTTTAAAGGTCATCTAGTCCAGCTCCCCTGCCCTGGGCAGGGACATCTTCCAATTGATTAGGTTGCTCATATGTAGGAACAGATTTATTTCAGGGATTTGACCATTAAGTTTTACATTCTTAGGTGGTCCTTAAAGTAAAAAAGCACAAGTCCTGACATGCTGGTGAATAGTTTGCATTATTTAAATAGCAGGAGTACAATTATTGTGAGTGTAAGACTTCTCTATAGGTTTTCTTCTTTCGTTGCTTTCTGCTTTTCTTACTGTATGTTTGCAATTGTGTTTTCAACTGTGATCTTCAGGTTTGTACCTTTATGTTATGTTTGGTTTTTCTTTCCAATAGGAGCAGATGCAATTGCAACTGGGCATTACGCAAGGACCTCGCTGGAGGATGAGGAGGTGTTTCAGCAGAAACATACTAAAAGACCACAGAGGCTTTTCAGAAACCGTTTTGAAGTTAGAAATAGTAAGTTGTGTCTTCATTTCATGTTTTGTCCTACATATAAAAGAGAAATTTAAACTGTATTTAAATAGAATCAGAGGTGTTTGTGACTTTATGCACAATGATTACTGACTAAACCCTAGCCTGTGTAGATGGTTGTTTGTGCTAAACAAGGGTATTTACATTACTGAAAATGGCCCTGACTTGTCAAGCATTAAATTTTCTTGTTTTAAGAGTCAGATGAATGTCTGCTATATGGCGAGAAGCATGCCAAACCCAAAGGGAAAAAAACTTGTAAACTAAAGCTATGCGAAGCTGCCACAGTGATGATTTTACATTAGAGATTCCCTGTTTTCATTTGTCCACCCCTGGACTTTAAGGGGTTTGCTTCTTTCTTTGTTTTAATTTTACCTCTGGAAAGTTGAAGTGGCCCCAGCTGGACCCCCGATCTATATCTGGCAGACTGTGGTTTGCAGATGTTGTGTGTTGTGATGGGCTTCCTTGCCCTGTGACTGAGATTTTGTATCACCAGTAGTAACTGCACTGTTGGCCTCTAGTTTGTGTCAGAGTCAAGAAACACATAAGTAGTGTTTGGACAACAGCACAGCCATTAATTTTAAAGAGAGGGGGCAGAACGTGATTGATAAAACTACCAATTTTATTTCATTTGGGTAATCAGGAGATTTCATCTGTTTTAAAGAAAATGGTCATACTCTCATCTCTGAGTATTGGTAATAACTCCACAGATTGCTCAAATCATTGATTTCTAATAGGGTGATTTCAGGGCAAAACAGTGTTTTTCTGAAGAACTGTATACTCCAAGGTATTTGAACCTTCATTCTCTCTTTCACAGGAAATGTGAAAGTTGTTTTTGTTTTTTATATTGTCGATGTCCTTGCCAGTGATACA